AAAATATATTAAGTTTACAAGAAATGGGAGCTAACAATGTATTTTTTAAAACTTGCTCTAAGCTGCCTGTTCTTAAAAGATATTTTACTGAAATTCAACAAAATTCAGCTGAAGAAAAAAATATTCAAAATCCTTCTGATTTCATTGGTGCTAAGTTTGCGTAAGTAAATTATTTACTTTTTTATATGTTAGTTTTTCTTGAATATTTGTAAAAAATTATTATCTAGAACAGGGATGGCTAAGTTTTTGAACACTGAATGCCCAAAATTACCTTTTTTTTTTTTTTTTTTTATAGAGCGTGCCATGAAAAAATATTATATTTTGTTATATTATAATTGGATTGTATAATTAATGTATTAGTATAAATAGGTTAGTTTAGGTACATAATAATAATAACAATATTTGTTAATTATTTATATTATATTATAAGTTCTATAATATTATATATTATATATTATAATAGTAAATATTTTCGTGTGCCATGGATTTGCCATCCCTGATCTAGAACTTTTAAATGGTATAACAACTTTGAATGTTAATTAAATTGTATATTTTTATTTTATTATTAATTTCTTATTGTATGTTAAAAAGTAAAACATCCATCTTTATTTTAATTGTATGTTTTAAACTAGGTTTTATTAAGAACTTTTGTTCTACATTAGTAGGTAGATTGTTTTTGAATAAATAATAAACAATTGTTTTTTTTTCCATATTAATAATCTAACCTAATATGTTGATTATAATAATAAACCAGGAATTAGATGGAAAAGTGTTTAAAATATATTCATTATTGATTATGACGGTAAAAAAAAATACATAGTAAGCTATTTTAGGATTGTATTTATTAATTGAATGATAGATTAATTGAAATTAGGTTTTGTGCTTCACATTCATAGAATTGGAATATATATTCAACATCATTAATTGGAATAAAATATTTCTCACACTTCAAAAAATAGGTGTTGAACAAAATTAAAAAATCATCCAGTAATCTATAAAGCAGATAGCTTACATGAAAAAGGAGAAACCATCGCCAAAACATAAACTCCACAATACTTTTTGCAGATGATATATGTTATTTATATAAATATATATTGTCATGTTTTAAAATTATCAGGACTTGATATTTGAAATAATCAGTCTCTATTTTTTGCGGTTTGCAATCATTTTTCATTTTTCACTTCTAATTTTCTTTGATCTTATGGAAGTAAACATTTTCCTGTTCCCAGAAGTTCTAGAGGTTATTAAACTACTTCCATAAATCCATTTATAATATAGTTCACTTTTTGTTTATTAAATTAATATTATTTATCTTCTTTTACTTTTATATAATATACTACTTAATGTGTATTTATATATGGTTAATCAAGGTCCTCCTATATATATTTTAATATCTCTTATTTCTAGTTTTAATTTATTAGGTCTTGCATTGTCAATCAGTAAAAATTATTTAGTAACATATAATTGTATAATTTAAATATTTAATAAAATAATTTTAAACATTGAATTGAAATAAACTTAGAAAATCTATATTTTAGTATTTTTTAATTTTACCAATTCGATTATAAAATATTCTATATACTAATTGTTTATTAATTTTATTTTTAGTTATAGATATGTGCTTTTGGATATAACTTTTGTGGAAAATGCATTAGCTTTACCAATATTTGAACCTTTAACTATTGTGTGTCTACAACAACTTACTAGTATAACAACAGCTTGTTTAAGACTTGCTTTATTTGTGCAAGGTATTCACTGTAATAACTCAACAAGTACAGATAAGTTTAATTTTATATCAAAAGATTATTAAGAAATTAAAATATTATTTTTATTGATTTTATAGATAATATAAATATTGAAGATGATGTGATGTGGAATCAAGCTGTACAGACGATTGAAAAAACTAATGTTATAATGCAAACAGTTTCCACTTTACTAAAAAAAATTTTCCTATTGTGTATGTTGTATATTTATTTTAATTTTTACCTAATATTATATACATTTTTATTATAATTTTTTTAAAATCACATTGTGTTATTTATTATTTATAGGTACATCAAAACTATTACATGATTGTAGTTTGGATTCTTATTAATGGCCTCCAAGATAAAACATTAAAAAATTATGAACAAAATATAATTAAAGATTCTTTGGTCAATAAAACTAAAGTAAAAGACCTATCTAAATCATCTACAAAGAAGTAAGATTATGTTTATATTTTTAATTTATTGAAAAAAATTATCTTTAGAAAGTATAATAAATAAAATAATAAAATTAAAACTAAAATTAATAAATTAGTAAAGATTAATTCTTGTAAATTAATATATAAATAAATGTTTAGTCTGGAGTATTACTTGTATAGTGTGAAGTATAATTATTATAATACATATTTTTCATTATTTCTGTTCCTTTAATTTTTCTTGTATATTTTAATATATTACTATAACAATTTTTACTATGGAAGTAAAATATTTATATTTATTCATAATATGTTATTTATTTTAAAATCTGTAAATCTGTACTAATTGTATTATGAAGCCACTTTTTAAATTGATATTGATATTATTCTGGAATGGTTATTTTAATTTTTTTTATTTAGTTTTACAATATGGAAAAATAAAACTTGTTAATAATTATTTTGTCTATTCTATATATATATATATATATGGGGCAAGCAGAAATATTCAAGAGTTTGTACAGGAATTGTGAATCGTTAAATTAAAATTATAATTAATTTCAGGATTTTTTTTTTTCTTAAATTAAAGTAAATTAATATACTTCTAAATATATACACCAAAAATATAGAATATATTTAGAAAATAGTGTATGAAGTTGGTTACGATTTTGAATTATTGAATTAACAACCTGAAATGGTTAACAAATTTATTAATTATAGTGGTTTCTAGTTATAGTGGTATTTTTTTTAAATTCATTTTTTAATTTTAATTCTTGTTCATACATAATTTATATCTTAAGTCCTAAAATTGTGTAGTCTTAATAGAATTTCAACATCTGGGAATGAACTAATTAATTGATTTAAAAACTTTTTCCCAAAGTTCAGGACTTCTATTCATAGATAATATATTTAATTTAATAAAATAATTTTATGTATTATTTTCACTTATCTTCTGCTGGAGTGGTATAGATTTGTTTTTACTTCTATTATAAAACACCAATATTTTCCTTAGTCTTGTTATATATTTGAACATTTTTGATTGGTTTTAAATTTTAAAAGTTTTCATGTAAAACACTTAAGAATAGATTTATTATAATTTATATGTATTTCTTGCTTTACCAAAGTTTAAAATATAATTTTATATATAAAAATGTTGTATAATTTTGTTTTTTAATTATTATAATTGTATTGGTAAATAAAATAAATAATATATTACTTTAAGTATTTATTTATTTATACTTTTTAATGATTAATTAAATTTTATATATGTTTTTGATTATAGCTCATTTAATGTTTTATCGGTGGCATTAGTAAATGAAATGCTTAATATGATTACTGATCTTTTGGAAAATGCTAAAAAAGAATCGACATCAGATCAACTTATGAAACTTGTTGACTTAGAATTAGAAATAATTCCAGCTTCATTAGATATATGTGCTAATACAAGAGCTTGTGATAGATTATTAAGAATTTTTCATGCTATTCCTCTGGTAAAATTCTTATATCAATTAGCTGCAATTAGTCATCGAAAAGTAATTATAGTATTTTATTATTTTTTATGCTTGTAAAAATAAATATTTTTAAGAAATTGAGAGTATTGACCTGGTATATTTTTTTTTAATATCGTGAAAGATTACTGAGCTTCATTGAGTTAAAAACTTTGTATAGAGACCCAGGAGTTATTTTGTTTACAAAATGTTTCTAATTAATAATATAGATCATCTTTATTTATTAGTAAGAGTGGATTTATATCTATTTTTTGATAAATTATGAACATTTTTTTTTTAAATACATAGAAAGTTTATTAAAAATATGTGAGATGTTTTTCTCTATCAATATAATACAAAATTTGTTTTTGATTTTATTGTGTATTAAGTGTAAATTTGTATATTTTGTTGGAACAATTTTAATTTTGGATTTATTTGCCATAATTATCAGATGTTAATAATATAATGTGTTAATCCATTTTAAGAATATTTATAACTTATAACTATTAAATCACAAATATGAATTATCTTTGTTAATTTTCTTTTTTATTAATTAAGAACTCATAATTATTTAGTTTGTTTGAACATTTTTATTAGCATTAACATAATTTTTATCATATTCGTTTTTATCACTCAGATTTAGTTAATTGAATAATTTTAAATAGGTAATGTGTCTCATTTTAAATAAAAACAAAAATAAGACTAATGGGATTCGTACCACAAGCTTAGAATCAATAGACATGGTACCCGAAACACCTGAAAGCGGACCTCCTGAAGAAGGAGGTAATTTATAATTAAAATATGAAATATTAACTTGTTTATTATTAATTCATTTTTATTTTAATAATTAGATGAAGATAATGAATCATTATTTGGAGCTTGGTTTGAAGAAGTACTAACATTAGGTGATCAACAAACTGAAAATATATCTTCTAAAGCACAGGCATCGGATTATGTTGATTTAGATAATAGTTTCTTAGATTCGTCAAACTATAGAGTAGTTCCTGAAACTGATGATCCAGAAGGGGTTAGTATAAATTTAAATAATATTATTTTGATAAAGAAGAGTAAATGTTAATTATTAATCTTGAAAATCATATTTTAGTATTTGGCACTGATAATAAGGATATTTAATTTATTGGATATATATTTTTTAAATACCGAATGTAACTATGTATCCTCATATGTATCTAAATCTATCCAAACTGATCATCTTGTTGTATTAGCTAAATTGATTAGAGAAATAGACTGGGCACCTGTTAATAATGATTTATGTAAGTCTTATTTTACTATTAATAAAAAAAAAAAAATATTTTTTTTTTGTTATTCAAATGCCTTATAATCTCAATATTATTTAATTTTTTTTTTTAGCTTGTATTCTTGATTCTCATCAAAATGTATCATCTTCTATTGGAATTTTCTCACATAATTTGATTGCTAAAGATTATCTATCGGGAAAACAACAGGATGAATTTATTGAACTGATGGGGATAAAAATTCCTCAAGATACTGTGGGTAAAAAATGGCCATTGCAAATTTATCCTAGGACTTTGGCAATACTAGTACAGGTACATATTTTATATCATAATTTAAATAATTTTTAAAAATTAAGTATTATATACTCATAAGTATAATATATATATATTTTAGGTTTTATTGAAAAAACCAATTATAGAAAAAGATGAATCATCAATGTTTATATGGCAAAACTTGATTAATGCATTAAGTTCTATTATTGAATATCCATCAAATAGTAATGAAGATTTTGAAGGTAATTTTTTTTTATACATTTTAAAGGAATTCAGTTAATTATTGTATTTATATTTCAGATCTGAATATTGAGCATGCTCAGCTATTAATATTTTTGTTCAACTCAATGTCTTTAACTCATAAAAAAGGAATTTTATTAGCTATTTGTAATACTATAATAGGTTCAAAATTTTATTTGGTCTTAAATCCTGTTTACAACAATCATATCTTAGCTTTAAGTAGATTGCTCCTTTTATTTGATTACTTGGTTAGAAGACTATATGATGTACCTAAATATTTGTTATCACAAGTAATTTTATCTTATTAGTAAATTTTATTAGTAACTGTAGATAAGATTGTTTTATCATTTAAGGTTGAATGGAATTTGATGCGTGTTAAAAGTGAATTAGAAGTAGACAGTGATGAAGTACAAATTACTGATGAAAACACTTATATGCTGTATAACTCTATTGAAGAAAACTTTCGTAGAAGATCAGATAGTGTAGGATATTCAGTTGCTGTAGTCCCTTGTTTTTATAAGCTACTAGACGATAAACAAGCAGTCAATGATGCTCCTAAACTGGATGGACTGGTTTGTTGAAATGTTAATGTTAATATTACCTTAGTTTAATAGTTTTTATAAATATTTTTATTAGAGTTATTTATAAATTACTTTATTATTTTTCATAATTTTTATATATTGATGTTTTAGGCTCTTAATTTTATTCTAAATCATCCAGAAAAGTTATGTTTCCCACAATTAATTCAAGCACTCTTAGATATTACTACAACTTTAAACTTGTGTAAAGGATTAAGTTTAGGTGATAGTTGGCATGAAAATATTATGGATAAATGTTCAAATCCTTTAACATTATGTAGTATTGAATATTGTTTTAATCTAACTTGGAAGTAAGTTCTTACTACATCAATAGTTTATTTAATTATTTATTTTCATATAGATTTATTTATTTTTAATACATTTTAGACTGTTGTTATCATTACCTGTCCCTATACAAAAACTACAAGACATGATAGAAGATAAATCAAATGGTTTTGATACTTCAAGCTTATTATATTTCTTAGTTTGGGGTCCAAGAACTAGTCAAACTTCTAAAATTTACTATCATTTTTTAAAGGTAGAAATTTAAAACAATAAAAAAAATAAAACATATTAATTTAAATAAAATATAATTAATAGGAAGGAGTTTACAAGCAGATATGTGTTTTGGAAAATTCTGAAAGTAGTAAAGAGTTGAATTCAAGAGAACTTTTATTAAATGTAGCATCCACTGCTTCATCAATAAAATATGATTATCAAATAGCCAAAGTTCATTTTATTCAACAACTTCGTCAGACTGGTATATATATTTTATTGGTACTATTATTAGTAGTTTAAATGTAATTGATTCTATATATTAATCATATTTAGTAGAAATAATTAATATGTAAGGTAAATGAGTTAATAAATGTATTTAATTGAAACTGAAGGTAAAATTAGATTACCACTAGCTTAAATACCTGGCTTCACTCGTGTGTAGTTTATTCTTTCTCTAAATGAAATACTTAAATCAATATACATTGTTGTGTTTTAAAGAAGAAAACAATTTATTTTACTTAATTTAATCAAGTGTTAAATTATAGCAGCTGAATTATAAATAAAAAAAAAAGTAATAATAATAATATTTACAAATGATTCTATACACATATTATTAAAAACTATTCTAAAATTCTTTATCCTTATATATATTAAAGAACAGGCCTTTTTTATGTTCCAATTGTAAAATGATATTATTTATCATTTTTCCAATTTTTTTTTCCGCAAAGTTGTACCTAATATTTCCTTGAGTGTTTCCCTGTTGCCTAATTTTTCATTTTTTTTTTTTTTGTTTAAGAGGAAGGAAAGGGGGATTGTATTTTTATATTCTACAAAAAAAAAAAAAATAAATGAAAATTAGTTGACGTAGTTACACTTAGGAAGGAATTTGGGACAACTGAAAAAAAATGTAAAATGTTAAATAGTGTCGTCACAAAATTGAAACAAAAAAAAAACCTGTTTTTTTTATACATATAAGGATTATCAAATTCTTTTTTAGTATTAAGTTATAGATTGGATGGTTAAAAACTGATATATATACGTAGTTATAGTAAAGGGTTTCAATATTACATATATCTATTTACCCATTAGTTATAAATTAATTAATTTAAATATATTAATAAGTTAACAATTCTTATTTTTGAAATAAAGATGCTATAAAAAAGAAACGCTTTCCGTTGTTATTGGATATGATACTGTTTGATGCGGTGATTTCAAAAATTTATATTCAAACTCGACCAGGAAAAACACCAGATGAAGAAATGATAAAGTAATATTAATTATTCATTGTTTATTTTAACATTAATTTAATTTTTCTAATCATATTTTTACATATTAATTTTTAGATCTTCAAATACTGAACTTATTCAAACACTAATGCCATATTGTATTGAATTGGCTAGGTTGATTTTTACCAACATTAAGTATGAATTTTATTTTATATTTTTATTTTGTTTTAAATATTTATATTAGATTTGTAAATTTAATTTTTAGCTCATCTTTTAATTTATACACAGCATAATTAAGTGCATCTGATTTTTATGATAAAATGTATTTTTAATAAATTAATTACTTGTCATAGGAGTAATCTGATGTATCAAATATCCAACTTGAATCAAGCTCAAGAGTTTTCATCTGGAGACATGGCAAATTTGAAGATTATTTTGTCAATGACTAATAATCACTCATCTTTGGAATTTTCACCTATTACATATAATTTACCAACTATAATGTTTGAAATAATTCCATCTTGGGTTGTATCTATTTTGACAAAATGGAATTCAATTTCTATTGGTCCTCAGTTAAAGGTTGGTTTTTTTAGTATTACACTCTATTTAACTAAATAATTTGTAATTAAATTATTTGTACATTCATTAGTAATTCATTAGTAATATAATGTATAAATTAATAGCATTTATTATTTGTTTTTATTTGTTTTTTAGACCTCTAGTTTGGATACTGCACCTGAAAATTTGATTCAAAATATTGTAAAACATCATTCATCTTTTGTATCCAGCCAACAGATATATTTCAATACTCCATCATTAAAACGATTACTCAATACACTTGTTGTATTTATCACAGAAAATATACAGTAAGATGGACATTTTTTTTTATTCATTTAGGTTTAAAATGTTTTGAATGTAGAAAAATAAGATAAAAATGTTTAGGTGTATGCTTATGTATTTGAATATGTTATAAAATGGGGGTATCATGACTAAATAGGATAAAGCAGCTAAGTCTTAAGCTCATTGGTCAAACTGTCTTTGGTTTGAATCGATTATCGGCAATTTTGTTTTTTTTATATGGGATGATCACTCGGAGATAAGAAACACTGGGATAGTAGATTCTGGTATTCTTACTTGTTATTGAGATAGGCTTCTAAAAATTGTTGAAGTTTAATTGTTGAAATTTCTAACATAATATATATAATATATATGTATATATGTTTTACTACTTAATATATTATTTTAATCTATTTAGGCTATGTACAGACTTTAAATTACGTTCAGATTTTGCAAATCTCTTGAGTTCTATGACTATTGACTGTTCATCAGAATACCTTTTAGAACACATTATTCCTACATTGGAGAAATTAAAAAATCCTGGAGATCATGATCCTGCTACCATGATATCTATACTTATAACTAAAAATATAAGAAAATTAGCCATTTTATATAAACGAGTAGATACAATCAATACGTAAGTATTTTCTCAAAGTTTGATTTTTTTTTAAATTTGATTACTTATTTATATTAAATATTAATAATTTTTTTTTTTTAGAGATCATTTAGTTGAAAAAGCTTTAATACACAGTATTTTCTGGATTGAACAGTTAATATTTGATTTTTCATCTGCTCGATATGCTGTTTTAAGAACATTTTGTGTTAGTGCCCATAAAGATGAAATGTTGATGAAAAAGTTTATTTCATCTGGTGTTTTTATAAAAGCACTTGTTAGATTGACCAATCGATTATTTTCTTATCGTAAGTAATAAAGAAAACAATATTTATATTCATAATATGTTTACGAATTATTTTCCTTTGAAGTCAAGACAAATAATCATCAAGATATTAAAGTAATATGCCGAACAATTATTGAATTATCAACTGATCCAAAAAATAGATTGGATCTTTGGTTACAAAGAATTATTGTTGGTTGGAACAAAGATAAAGATTTAATTGATGCTGCCGGTATTTTATCTCGAGAATTAAGTGTTTTTTTGAATGATAGACATTCTAATTCAATTAAACATTTTACAAATAACATTTCATTTGTAATTGATCCTGATGAAAATTTTGAATTAATAAAGAATATGATTGATTTTATTGGTGCATTAGATACGTAAGTATTGAATATTAAGATTACTAATTGATAAGATACTATCACTTAGAGTAGAAGAAATAAATCAATTATTTTTTAAATTTCTTTTAACAACAGTTTATAATAAGGTTCTTCAACGATATATTTTTTTGAATATCGATATCGTTTAGTTTTCACAATATTGAAAAAAAAAAATTAACTATCGATTTATCAATATTCCGACTATTCTATAGTAAAATTATTGTTACCTAAAATATAAAGTCTATGACAATTCTATATCTGTGGTCTTTGTCATAGAATATGTTCTATGTCTATGACAATTTAATCTGCAGGTTTACTGATAATGATATCTAAAAACAGTTAGGTTAGAAATTAGAATAAAAATAATAAATAATAAATATCAACAGCTCCATGAAAATAAAACTTCAGTATTTTTTATTGAAAATAACAATAAATTTAATAATTATTAATTATTAATTAACTTTCTTCAATCTTCAGTTAACTCTTCATACTCTTCATTTTTGATTTGTGTCATTAGTAAATTAATATATTTTCCGTTATCATTTGCTATTTTTAACCTAATCCCAAAATGCTTGACAATGTGATTTTATAAATTATTACATCAGCTGTATATTACATAATGCATATATATGAAATTTAAATAATAATTTTACAGAAGGGAAATTTGATTATCGATAATCGATATATAGTTCGGTATATTTAGATTCTTGATATAAAAATTTCCATAAAAAAGTTTGCTATATCGATATCGTTGAAGAACTCTAGTTTATAATATTAATTAATTTATTATTATGCTAAATTAATTAATCATTTTTATTCTTAATTTAATTAATTTACTCTAATATTTAGGCTTTGTTTAGATTTGAGTTAAAAA